ATATTTTAATTTTTCGTCGCCTTTGTAAGCCTGGTAAACAAACCACAGCCCCATTTGATCTACACAGCTAAAACAGCTTATAATATAACAGTGATTATAATATACCCTCGGAAAAAAGGAACTGTCCGTCTAATTTTGAAAAGGTTATATAATCGCGTTTACATTAATAATCCTGGTATATTATTTTAGCTTACCAAAGACGAAATTAACGATCTATGTAAGACTAGATCTAGTCTTTTAACAAAATATCAATTTATACACAAACAACTCTCGACAAGTAAGACCATCCCCACCCCCACCCTCAAATAACCCCCCCCCCCCTCCCCCACAACCGCAAAATGGGAGGAAAACTGCTTATAGCCTATTGCTTTCGAGCGTGATTTTAGTAACGAGTATTATTATGCCCGCAATCACGAAATCTTCTTGAATTGGCGAAGCTTAGCTTAGCAATTACGTGCAATTTTCCTCAAATCGCGTTTTGGCGTTTTTGGGAGGTGGTCTTCTTGTCGTGAGTTGTTTGTGTATAAATTGACGTTTGTTCGAAAACTAGTCTTACATTCGTTTCGTCTTTGAATAAGTTAGAATAATTTACCAGGATGGTTAATGTAACGTGATTATATTAAATTATAAACTTTTCAAAATTAGGCCTGAAATCTATGGACAGTTACTTTGTTCCGAGTATATATATATATATGATATTATGTATAAGTGTTGTTTTAGCCTCGGGGTAAAATTGAAGATTAGCAGACCACCTGCCGGGAATACTTTTTTTGCACTAAAAACTGTCTCAAACTATCATCCTCATCCGGTGCCTTGCCGACTGGCGTGGGCGATCATGGACCTCTACTTCCATCTGTCTTTCGATGCAGCAATGGTGTCTGTTGTTCTTGCTGCTCCCAGCCATGTTGTCATCTTGTCCAGTATCTTTTCCCTCTGTCTGCCTCTGCCTCTCTTTCCATCAAACTTTCCTGTTGTTACAATATTTTTTAATGCTTCTTTCCGCATTGTGTGTCCGAAGAAGTTTGCCTGTCGTTTTCTTATATTCGTGATACATGTAAGTTGTTTTCTATAATTTGCTTCAACCAGGACTTCATTTCTCAAACTATAGGCCTATCCAGATTTATGTATTATTTCTGTGACTTTAGCAGGGGGTTCTGCCCTGCACCCCCCATCTAGGTTTTTTAAACTTTCCCTCCCGTCTCACACTCAGCTACCAGTTGTCTATTTTCTGCTAAATATTGATACGCTGAACACGAATATCAACTTCATTTCCGTCGCAAAATAATAGTTTTTGAAATATTTGATTGTTTTTAACCGAGATCGACTTGCTTTGGACCAATCGGGGGGTTCCAGGGGGGCCGGCCCCACTGGGGTAAAGAAAATCTGGTTGGTTACAGGGGGGCGCCCCCCTGTTTTTACCTATAATCTGATATTTTACAGTTAGATTTGAAATTGTCTTGAAAATAATTGATTTGAGACAGTTTTAGTGGCTTTATGTGTGATCAGCAGTAAACAGTACAGCAGTTTGACCCCTGAAACAGTGCATCTGTGTGCGGGAGTGAAAGTAAAAATTTACCTATATCTACCCCTCCCACCCCCCCCCCTTTTTTTTTCTACTGGAGTAGATCTAGTGGTGGTCGGTGGTCTGCTTTTATGTTCAAAGAGGCCTAGCCTCTGACGCCGTCTCTCCCAAAACGAAGAGCTGCCGTGACCCCGTCAGCAGATACAGGTGAACAACAGAAGGTGAACACAATGATTGGTCTTAAACCTGTAAAGTTAGATAACGTGACGTAAATTTCGACATGCACCTTTCTCCCGGAAGTAAACAACCAAGGGTCTCAACTCTCAACTAACAATTTTAAAACAAGATGGCTGACAGAGAGGAACAAGTTGATCAGTTCGTTAACGTTACTGGAGTTGACGCTAATCGGGCTCGATTTTATCTGGAGTCGGCGGCATGGGATTTGCAAGTGAGTTTATGTCGTAAAACAGTAATAGAGTTAAAATTAGTGTCTTCTGTAAACTTTGTTATCAACTGCCATTCTGAGTTTCGATTTCTTTGTTGTCTGTGCGTACGGATTCTTCCAAGCAAAGCGTTTTGTTGTCGATTGTGCCAAGTCATATTATTACTAAAAATTAGACTATGATTTACTTAAAGTTATAAAGTGACCACGCTGTCAACAGAGGCGAAGGTGATGGTTTATAGCAGTATTTTTCTGTTCCAGAAGGTTCGATGTCAAAGTTGTTTTAGTTTTGAAAGTGGCTATTCTCACCCGCCCGGAAGTTCTCGCAAGATCAACTCCTCCCCTCTTCTCTCTCTCTCCGTCTCTTTCTGAATACTGTCTATCGGTGTGGACGATCAAATTGACCAAAACAAAGTTAAAAAATGATGTTAAAACACAAAAGTCTGACAAAAGTAAATAAATTTGGTTGTCTACAAAGATGCTACGGCTATTTAACTTTTCGAATCGAGCCGAACTACGCGGGTCGCCATTTTGTTTTGCCCGGAAATTCTCGCGCTACTCCTCTCTCTCTTTCTCTCTCTCCCTCCACTGCCCACAGACAAAATTGTACGCTTTTAGTAGGCTACAATTGTAATGGAACGTTTGTTCACGGCACAGAATTCTACAATTTTTCTGTTATCACAGTGTAGAATTCTGTGGTTTAGGGTGAACGCAAAATTTGGTGAACGCGCACCGGGTGAGAATAGCCACAAGACTCGCCTGCACTATTCTCACTCCGGGTAGGTGGCCTTTAGTTTTCAAATAAAAGGACAGTAGGTTCTAGAAGTCTAGAGAATAACACACTACACAGGTGAGCCTTTTGGCTATTCTCACCCTGTGTGCATTCACCATGATAGCCTAGGCCAACCAGTGTTGATCCAGTGTGATAACAGAAGTGTAGAATTGTGGGTGTTTTTTCGGTAGTTCCAACCCCCCCTAGACCTAGATTTAGATCTACACATAGATCTATATCTAGGTCTACGTTTGATGCGTGGCAAGCTAAGATATCAAACACTATCAAAACTGCAAAACATCAAATTATGGTGAAATCATGCCCCCCTGAAACCCCCCACCTTATTTTTATTAGGTCAGATGGGCAAGCTGAAACCCCCCCTACTCTTGGAGTTGGAGCCAAAGGAAGTGGCTATTCTCACCCGGGGTGAGAATAGAAATACGATCGACCTCTCACCCTGGGTGAGACTTGCCACCGTAGGCTATTCTCACCCAGTGTAAAACAAGACCTGTTTTTCCTAATTTCGGAATACTTTCTATCGATGTGGATGATCAAATGGATAAAGGCAAAGAAAAGATTACGTTATAGCACAAAAGTAAGCTAATTTTATCGACTACAAAGATGCTATATGGGTATTTCACTTTACGAATCGAGCCGAACAACGGGGGTCACCATTTTGTTTTGCCCAGAAGTTCTCGCAAGATCTACTCCTCCCCTCTTCTCTCTCTCTGTCTCTTTCTGAATACTGTCTATCGGTGTGGACGATCAAATTGACCAAAACAAAGTTAAAAAATGATGTTAAAACACAAAGTAAATTAATTTGGTTGTCTACAAAGATGCTACGGCTATTTAACTTTTCGAATCGAGCCGAACTACGCGGGTCGCCATTTTGTTTTGCCCGGAAGTTCTCGCACTTCTCCTCTCTCTCTCTCTCTTTCTCTCTCTCTCTCTCTCTCTCTCCACTGCCCACAGACAAAATTGTACGCTTTTAGTAGGCTAACAGTAGTTATGGAACGTTTGTTCACGGCACAGAATTCGACAATTTTTCTGTTATCACAGTGTAGAATTCTGTGGTTTAGGGTGAACGCAAAATTGGTTGGCCTAGATCTTGGCTAAAACGGTGAACGCGCACCGAGTGAGAATAGCCAAAAGACTCGCCTGGACTATTCTCACCCCGGGTGAGAAAAGAGGTGGCCGGGGCCAAAACCCACGAATAACAATGGCGGGGTGGGAACTACCAAAAAAGCGCCGAATTCTGTGGGGTGAACAAACGCTCCAGCGGTCTTGCTTGTGTATTATTAAAAGCATGCAATTTTGTGTGGGCAGTGAGAGAGAAAGAGAGAGAGAGAGGAGTAGCGTGAGAACTTCTGGGCAAAACAAAATGGCGACCCGTGTAGTTCGGCTCAATTCGAAAAGTTAAACGGAGTGTCTACGTACACGGTAACCAGGCACCTAGTCTCAGTATCTACGTACACGGTAACTGGGCACCTAATCTCACCTAGTCTCAGTATCTACGTACATGGTAACCGGAATGAAAATAAATCAATTTTAGTCCTGTGCTGTCACTTGCTGAAAAAAAAGAAATTCATACACAAACGTCTTGTCGGGCTCGCCATCGTGACCGGTCAGTGAACCTGTGCGGCCGCATCACATTGTGAGTACCGGTTGGGGTCACCAAAGTTCATTCAAAGTCTGTGCGCTGCGAAGTATAGAGTATAGGGCTCTGGAATGGGGGGGATTATTCATTTTTTTTAAAGTACAGTCCGTGAAGGGGTGGGGATGAAGGCAACACTGGATTACAAAAACTGAACTTGGAGTTCTGGACTACCCGGTTACCGTGTACGGGATAGAGACTACGTGCCCGGTTGCCGGCCGTGTACGTAGATATTGAGGCTATATGCCCGGTTATCGTGTACGTGACACTGAGACTATGTGCCCGGTTGCCGGTTACCGTGTACGTAGACACTGAGGCTAGGTGCCCAGTTACCGTGTACGTAGACACTCTGAAAGTTAAATAGCCGTAACATCTTTGTTGACGACCAAATTAATTTACTTTTGCGTTTTAACATCATTTTTTATTTTCGTTTTTATCAATTTGATAGCCCACACCGATAGGTCAGACAGTATTCAGAAAGAAACAGAGATTCAGAGAGAGAGAGAGAGAGAGAGAAGGAGTAGATCTTGCGAGAACTTCCAAGCAAAAAAAATTTACAATTTACAAACGATCGAATAAAAACAAAGCGCAAAACACGATAAACTCAACAATTAGTTGCCTATATTAGCACAACGAAACAAGTGATAAAAAACATAGATCTAGCATGTAGTCGCTCAGCTGGGGTCTCTTTTTATAACTTTGACCTATAATATACTATGTCATTTTCCATATAAGGAATACTGAAATTTTCCATTCAAAAAGGTCAGCGTCTATGCCCTTTATATAGGGCCTGTGCGCTTCCAGGTCGAAGTAGGTCTGCCCTATATATATATATATATATATATATAGGGTCTGTGGGCTTCCCGGGTAGCCCAGCTCACGCCCTTTATATAGGGCCTGTGCGCTTCCAGGTCGAAGTAGGTCTGCCCTATATATATATATATATATATATATAGGGTCTGTGGGCTTCCCGGGTAGCCCAGCTCACGCCCTTTATATAGGGCCTGCGCTCTTCCAGGGCTGAAGTCCAAGTGGCTGGCCTGAAGTTCATCTACTAGATCTAGAGCTAGTGAGTCAGAGTGCTTGTCTCTACTAACAAAGGTCTAACACAAAGTGCCTACCAAACTTGTATATTTACTGATTTATTGATAGAATTATATTTATTATTTGGAAGAGGCTAGCCGTACTTGATGATGGCTAGATAGCTAGGCTATTTTATTAGGCAGGTTCTATTTCTCTGAACGTTCGGGAAAATAAACTTGAGCTTTATTTCTCCGAACAGTTTCCGTTCTCGAGATTTGTTGATAATAAACGAATGGAGTGGCCCGTTTCTCTGTGTGTGTGTGTGTGTGTAAGGTGTGAACGGATTAGGGGGGGTGGGGGGGGCGTAGAAGGATTTTTTTTTTTACAAGAAGGATTTTAGTTTGTGCTGGGTGACTAAATGCAAAATAGTTTACTGCCGAGGTCGAGCTGTCTTGTTTTCTCGCAGTACCTTTTGGAGGTATTTTCAAATGAAGTATGTCCGGGAACGTTGCTCCGACCACGACTGAGGTATCTGAATATTCAGACATTTAAAAATCTCTAGCTCTCTAAATTGAATTTTATTGAAAAAATGCTTCTTCCCAGTCCTTGCAGAATGGCAGAATGAAAGGATGACCCCTAAATCTCGCAAATAATCCAAAAAATCTCGAGATCAGAAACCGTTTGGAGAAATAGAGTTCAGCTTTATTTTCGAGAACATTCGGAGAAATAGTGACTTCGATTTTATTAAATACGGCTAGACGGCTAGGCTAACCGTAAACAATGATGGCTAGACTGACAAACAGCAAAAAATAGGCCCACTGAATTGTAAATACATTTTTAGTTTTCAATACCTAAAGTATTTGAGACGAAACCAAAAGGTGTCTTACTGACAATGCATGTATTTTAAACTTGAATAATTACTAATGAGACATGAGTACTCAACAGGTTTCAGTCAATAGGACCTGACATATAAGTCTTAGAAGTACAGCTAGACAGGTAGGCTAGGCCATCGCAATAATTATTCTCATTCTTATTGCCTGATTATTAGTGACAGTTTTATGAGTACCGGTTTAGAAGTTATAATATTATAGAACAGAAAGAAATAAGGTTAAAAAGTTCCCATATGAATTTTACTTTGACTACTTCCCAAATGAAGAGCTGTACACAGGTTTCATAGTAAAGACCCACACATTTCCCAATTTCCTAAAAGTTGCCTAATCCATAAATTTCGAAAAACTGAAAAACACAACGTTGCTTGGGTTTTCACAAGCACCCCTTCTTAAATAAAAGCATTTTAATTCAACTCCCTCTCATATCAGTTTGTCTAAACCTTTGCATGATTTTCATTTAATTATTTTCATTTCAGCTTGCTATGAGTAGCTTCTTTGAGAGCGGTGATGGAGAGGAAGCGGATGCTGTGTCAGCTCAAAATGACGTTTCCATGGTGACAGACTCGGCTAGAGATGTCCAAGAAACGTCTACTTCAAACAGGTTACTGTTTATAATGTTGTAACATACAGCATAGTAACTTGGTATTTCAATAGTAAATATTCTGGTAAAAGTAAACTATAGCCCCCGTTTTGAACTGCTTGACCTTGTGAACCACATCAATGGTTAAAGTGGTGGGGGGAGGGGGGGGGGATCACAGAGGGTTTACAGCTATACAAAGTCTTATAGGAGTAAGAAATGGAGGGCTGTGATTATCCTGATGTAGTGTGAAGACATGGTGGCTGGGAGTAGGGGGTCGATTACTTTTAGGTTCAAGGTTCAGTGTAGACTTCGGTATTACCTGTATTACCTGTCCTGGGCAACAACGTCATTACTCGCCGACAGGTCCATAAGTGCTCAGTTCCCCCCAGCACCAAAGCCTACAAGGTATCCATACTGATTGTTCCTGTGGCTGTCTGATTATGGCGACGTCTTTCCTTTCCAGATAATCGTTCCTTTCTTCCTTCTCCCCTCTTTATCCCCATTTCCCGCATCCTAATGATAGTGTGGTGTTCTGCTGTCTCCCTGTCTTCCTCATCCTAAGACTTCGGTTGTTATCTGGTCTCAATAATTGAAGTAGTAGCCCAGTGCAAAGAAACTTTGATGAAACAGAATCAGTGTAAGTAGTTGGAGGAGGGATTTATACTGAGACCTTAAGTGTAGGTAATGTATACAGTTGGACAGAGATGGAGACTATAGTCCAGGACAGAAGTACATGAAGAGTTCTTGCTGGTTGCCTCTCTGACACGGTGTGAGAAAAGCTGATGAAGATAATGATGACACACAATAGCCAGCGTGCTTCCCAAATGCAAAGGCACTTTGTAATGGTATCAATGTTGAAGACTGCGGGGTTTTTTTAAACCAGGGAATTTGTGATAGCATTGAATGTTAGTGAAAGAAGAGGTAGCTTTTCTTTTTAGTTTTAGTTTTAGTAGAGGTTTTACGGTGCTCGCAACTGCATAAGGTCATATGAGTGCCAGAAGATTAGATGTGTTACAAGAGAGTAACAAACATTAAAAAGAAGAAGGGGAGATAAGAACGATAGATGATTCATAGGAAAGAAGAAGCAAACCACACCAGAGCACCCACCAACCACCCACTGTAGCTTTTCTTGAGAGGACATGGTTTGTAAAAGTAGAGAAATTGAAGATGTTTAAATAGGACTTGTAAGTTTTGGGTGATAATGTTGATTCATACCCATTGAGTTGCATAAATCCTTTTTAGCACAACAATCACCATGTGTCAGTTGTGTGGTTGTCGCACCTCGCCTACTCCTCCCTCTCCTTGAAGTCGTTATACCTCTTTACATTATCACTGCACAGTCAAACCTGCCGAGACGGCCACTTGCACAAATAGCCATTTTCCATTAGCCCTCCATCAATTGTACTCAGGGATGTCACTTTTTCGCTTTTTCTGATATTTCCGGTATTTTGATCCTGATATGCTATTCCATTATTGAGATCGAGATAGAATCTATAGCTGGAACCCCAATGTTAAAATAACGGAAAAACAAAGACTTCGCCATACATTCAAATAACGGGGAGAAAAAAACCTGGAAGATTTGCGCTATTCTCAGCAAGTCGGGAAAACACACATCCGTTTCTCTCTATGTACACCCTTTGGGTTTCAAAATTGATATTCATATGTTAGCGAGACTGGCGCATGGATTTTCAGCTATTTTCAAAAATGTTAAGTGGCATCCCTGGTACTACATAATGCCACTTCATAAAATGATAACCTGGCCAGTGTGGTGGAGGCCACGATATTTTTACCAACCAACGGTAACCCCCCCCCCCCCCCCCCCCCTCCCTGTTACAGCAGTTGCAAAACCCACCTTTCAACCCTCCCTCCGAAAGTTTTAAAAAGGGATTTTAATGTGCCTTACGCCGTCCAGAGCCTGTGGCCACATCCAGTTAGGAATTCAAAAGGAATCGTTTGTTTTATTTTTGATCAATTCTGCCTAAGACAGCCACTTATCTCCTTGACTCTGAGTGGCCGTCTTAGATAGTTTCCACTGTATTTATATTATTCTAAATGTCTTTGGTGTACAGATTTGGCACCTTGCGCAGTGTGAATGTCGATTCTGACTCATCGGATGAAGAAGGCCAAGCCTACTACGCCGGTGGCTCTGACAGAAGGTAATGTCCCCTCTTAATCACTGCTGATGTTTAAATGTTTAAATGATTGTAGCTGGCTTAAAATCAAACATATTTACTTTGTTGTTGCTAGTTTTAAAATGGGGTAGCTTCATTATTTATGGGGACGGTAGTCGTACCCGTGTGATTTGTAGTGGTGGTGGTTCTGTACTTTTTTCTAGTTTTTCACTGTTGAGTTATGAAGTGTAAATAAAATCTGTCTTTTGCAAACTACTTTATTTTTTACCCCTATAAGAATTTTTGATGTTTGTTTGTTCTCACTTTCTGTTTTAGTTGTGTTATGCTTTTGTGTCTCTTTTTACAGATGTTTCAGTCTGCAGGAAGTACGTAATCTTTTAGTCTTGAGAAGAATATTTTGTCTTCACTTTACATTATATGTCAGTTTGTGAAAGAGAAAGTGGTTGGTAAGTCTTTAACAAAATGCCTTTTCTTGACATTGCAGTGGTCAGCAAGTGCTTGGTCCACCCAAGAAGAAGGACTCCCACAAACTGGTGGAGTCTCTGTTTAAGTCAGCCAAAGAGTAAGTCAAGAACCGTGTGAATGTATGACAGGCTTTATTAACTCTGTTTAGAATTTCATGAAATCAAAACTAACTGAATGAGGTCGTTCTGAAAGAATTCGGTGTGTGACAGTCGAGAGTGAAAACAATAAGGAACTAATCAATGCAGTTCTTAGGATGCTTGAATCAATGTAAAGACATCAAGAACCTTGCTCTCTTTGAAAAAAAATAGATGGCAAAGATAGAGCAAGAATAACTTACTTTAAAAACTTGAACAGGTAAGTTGTCTGAAAAGACTTGCTAGACAATATCGGTTTTAATTTAAGAGCGTCTGAGCAGATCAATCAATGAGTGGTGAACCTGATATCTGAAACTTGAAGAAGGAGATGGAAACTGGGTTTCTGGACTTGTGTACAAATGTTATTGATACATAACTTCAGCTATCTTTATCTCAAGAGCTTGTTGCATCAGGATTTTTTTTTTTTTGGGGGGGGGGGATGTATATTGTAATCCGCTCATGATTTTTTTATTTGTCTGGTTAAAAATTGTCTCTCTCTCTTTTTTTTAGAAACAACGGTGATAGTGTCTTGGTTTTGTGGCTATTTTACAACTTCTTCACCATCGTTAGTAATGTTATATTTAGTTGATGTGTTTCTCTTGACTACGAGCAAATGAAAAAAGGCCTGTGCATTTCCCGTCTCTTGATTATAATATTATTTATAATACTGTTTTGCTTGAAATATTTATGGTCAGTATATGATAGCTTAATGTATTTACTCTCCCAAACAGTTTGTTGGATGGTTTCTTTGAAAAGGTTCATCTAAGAACCTGGGCCTCTTGTTTAGTGTCTAGTTCTGATCAGGCCAAAACAAACATAAAGATGGGCACTGCTGTTAGATCCTCCTCTTTTTCGTTCCGTTGTTTCTGTTTATCTTCGTTCTTTTTCACCGCTTCCCTCGTGGCTGGAGCGTGCCATTTGTAAGTCCCTTTTTTTTTCTTTTATAAAATTCTGTGTGTCTGTTTTACTTTTTGGCTGCTGTAAATGACCATTGTGCTTCTCTTTATTAGTCCAACAGCAACTGGGTGGGGAGAGACAGCTTGCCATGCTGCCCAAGTTTCTGAAAATCTTGATGGGAGTTTCGAATTAAGCTCGCGAACTCACAAAGTCCAGCACAGTTCTCTTTGGTTATTGCCTTTCTCTGATAAAGAAGTGTTAAATCAGTGGAGAGAGATGGAACTTCTCAGAAAACTCAAGTCTGAGAATATTCTGATGGGCTTCGGATTCAGGCCGCAACAGTTCTCCTGAACTAACACCGCTCTTCTTTTTCCTCAGACATGGTGCGGAAGAGAAGAACGAAGGAGACAGACCATCCCAGTCAAGCCGTTCAACATTTGTGGGTGCTGGTTACAGGCTAGGGGAGACCAGCGATGATACAACGGTCGTCCCCGGTGCACAGAAGCCAGCTGCCAGGAAGCAGGTACATACATTGTAAACCCCCCCCCACCCTCTCTCTCTTTCTCTCTCTCTCTCTTTCTCTCTCTCTCTCTCTCTCTCTCTCTCTCTCTCTCTCTCTCTCTCTCTCTCTTTCCTGGTACTGTGGCGTTATAAGTGGTCAGTGATGCCAACAGCACACAGGAACTCAGTCCTCGCTCGGGGGTCCTTGAAAAGTGCTCAGTGTGGGTCGTTGAAACGTCCTAGTAGACGTGTTTTGGCACGATAGTTGGCAGGACATTTCAGGATTATGCGGTCTATAGTCTCGTTCTCCTCTTTGCAGGCTCGACAGGACTGATCTGGGTTGTCTGCTGGTGCGATTTTGTGTAGATATGATTTCAGCTTGGGCAATTTTCCACCAGTTCTCATTTGAGAGATAAGCCGGCGGTCTTGTCGCAGGAGCACACTGTAACCAGAAAAAGAAATGTAAAGGAGAATTTTCATGTAGCTGAATAAGAGTGTAATGTGATGCTCTGCCTAAAAGTGTCTATAAAATTATTGTTTAGCTCCCCAACCTCTTTATACAATTTTTAAAACTGAATGTGAAGTGGCTCAGAACTGCATGACTGTTTTGTGATCTCTGCTGTAGATCATCGGTAAAAGTAAAGCTTCACTCACTCAAGCCTGTTTCAATCGAAGACACATTGACTGAGGAGCAGTAGTTTGTAGCTGAAGGAGGGTGTATTGTGGTACATAAAAGTAAAGACAAACACACACACACACACACACGCGCGCGCGCGCGCAACTTTGCGCATCCATCTTGGCCTTGGTGAAGTCTTCTACTTTTATCTGTTATGTGAGGCATTCAAGGTAGAACCAGGTGTTTGTCAAAATAATTGAAATAAAAGAATCATACATTTTTCTGCTGGCTTGACAATTTTTATCAAATACCTATAACTCCACATGCCCTAAAACAGTTCTTCCAAATCAAAATGAAATGCTTCCAGGTACAATTCTTTCCTTTGTAACGACATGTCTTATGTTTGGCATTCAAAAAATTTTCAACTACTTCTCTTTTCTTCCAGGAGGAGAAAAAATTGAAGCTGTGGAAGAATGGGTTCAGTGTGGACAATGGAGAGCTGAGAGATTACAACGATCCTCAGAACAAACAGTTCCTGGACAGCATATCCAGAGGGTGAGTAGTAGAGCTGTGCCCATTCGGCTTTACAATTCGACATTCATGATTTTTGCACTATTCACAGCTATTCGAAGCATGGCAGCCATTCGAATGCTGGTGATTTTTAAAAAAACAGATACTGGATTTTCGTCTCATTTTTCTAAAACAGAAAAATTGGAGTACATTATATCTAAAATCATTAAGATCAATATACAGAAATACTCTTTATTTGATGGTTACGAGATAGAGTGATAAGAGGAGCCTACAATAGTTATAAAACAATCCTTTAGAGAACAGCTCTTACTATTCAATATTCACTCGTCACACTATGGACGGCTCAAGCAAGGGCACTTGACTCTTGAAGCACAGCGAATGTTTTTTTCCATGAAGTTAGCTGTCACAATGAATGAGCTCCCCTAACCCTACTCGAAATTCGAAGCACTATGAACGGTCAACACGTTGCACTGTCTGAGCGCGTGCAACAACAACGCACGCGCGCTCAGTGACTGGGGTTTGACGGCGCTCCGAATTGCAGAAGTTAGATCTGGGCTTATCACGTATAAGAAATAATGATTCGACAGCGATTCGAATTGCGGAAGTTACATCTGGGCTTATCACATATAAGAAAAAACCATTCAACGGCGCTGTGAATAGCTAGCAAATGTAGAATAGCAGAACTTTGGTCTGGGTATTGCTTATCATATATTAGAAAAAATCATTTGACGGAGGTATTCAAAAATCTTAAATAGCGAGCTCACACTTCGAAGCTTCAGTGATATTTTGTTTCCTCAAAATCACACAGCACTAGTGAGTAGGGGGTTGATGGGTGCTCTGGTGTCGTTTTCTCCTTTCCTGTCAAACTTTTATCGTCCTTTTCTCTTCTTCTTTTTGGTGTTTGTTACTCTCTTTTGACACCTCTAACTCTAATTTTCGGCTTTTATGTGACCTAATTGTGTAGCAAGTGCTCTAAAAACACTTACTAAAACAATCTTGTCTTGTTTAAATGAATGATTATAAACATGGTTCTAATCTTATGCCTTTTGTAGCTTCCCTTAACACTGGTTGTAATCTAGAGAATGCTCAAGTAGTGCTATTTCCATGGTGGTGATCGTTCAGTGTATGAGTCTGTTGGAGAACAGTTATACCCAAAATAACACTGATGTGGTCTACTTTTTATAGTTTTCATTTTTGCCTTTGTCTTAATCCTATCAGTACGATGAGTTTTGTGTCCTGGAAAGTCAAAATGTGGAAAGTTGTACAATTCCATGCTGTACTGGGTATGATAATGTGGCATATGAAGAAGTTAACCTGTTCCTGGATGAATGTACCAATTTAATTGTGGTACTGACTTACTTTGCAGGTCCTTCTTTTCTTTCTCCCTGCTTATTTCTGTCTTTCTATCACGCTTTTTTTTCCTTTCACTGAAATACCTTGATCGTGCTGTTGTATTTGTTTTTATTCAACAAACGAAACAAACCTTTTTCTATGGCTTTCTGTAACTTCTTTAGTTGTAAATGTGATTTCGAGGGTGGTTGGCGGGTGCTCTGGTGTGGTTTGCTTCTTTTTTCCTATCAAACATCTATCGTCCTTATCTCCCCTCCTTCTTTTTTATGTTTGTTACTCTATTGTGATACCTCTAATCTTCTGGCGCTCATATGACCTTATGCTGTTGTGAGTGCAGTAAAACTCTTACTAAAACTAGCTAAACCTTTCCGTGTGGCTTTCTATAACTTCTTTAGTTGTAAATGTGATTTCCAGGGAGGTTCCACAAGAGCTTGTAAGAGAGGCACGCGGTGGCGAAATCAACCTGGACATGGAAGATCATCGCGCTGAAGATTACGTCAAGCCCAAAGTCTCGGTGAAGGCTTTCACGGGTGCTGGACACATGCTGGGCAGGTGAGTGGATGGACAGTCTTGACAGGGATACTTTTCAGAAGTTATACAACTAATCATCATAACTGCATACTAAATGTATGAATATTTTGACTTTGCTGGAATGTGTTTTTCAGGACATGATGTTAAAAGTCCTTCTGAAGACAAGTTTCGAGAACTTTTTTTGAGAGGGTGTGCACATATGAGATTCGCTTCATTTTGTGCAATTTCATATCACTTAATTTAGCTGATGGATACATTTTTTAAATTGTAAATTTCGTTGATAAATTTTCCTTTTCTTTTTTTTTTTCAACATACCCAAACCCTAATATTCAGGATCACGCTTTATTGTAAGTACCTTACGTTATTGGTTTTTAATGATGCTAGAGGAATATGTGAGGTAATGAATAATTTTTTTTGTTTAAGCACTAGATCTGAAACAGACATTGGCAATCATGCTTTGCCAATCATTTCTCTGCTGAGAGGCTCTCTTATAATTCCTTTACTATACTGGTCTTTTCCCATCACCCTTCTGTTCAAGTTGTCGAAGAAAGTCATTCTTGGTCTACCTTCGCCTCCCATTATTTCAATGAGTCTCTTGGAAAACAATTGTATCGTACCGAAAAACACTCATGTGGTCTGACTTTTTGTAGTTTTCAATTTTTGTTGTCTTAATCCTTTCAGTACAATGGGTTTTGATCCCTGGTAAGTCAAGACGTTTTTCGTTGGGTAACCACAAGAAATGCAGTCGACTCCGCTTGTGTTAAAGTCATTTGAGTTGATCTTTGTGCTTAAAGTTGAATATTTTGTCTTTTTGTCGGGTCCCTGAACCTCTTCTTCTTGACATTTGTTAAAGTCAAACAATTATGTAGATTTCAATTCAAACGTGATTATGCTGCCGTTAAGGTGCTTGTTTTTTTTACCCCTTGCAGCTAACATAATTTGGCTGAATTTATTTTTGCGTTTTAATTGTCATTTGTTTTGCACTCAATTTTTACATTGGTGATACTTCATGTAGAAATCATTGTGTGCGCCAATGAATGTGTAGTAGGCCTACACAGTGCTTCAATAAAACAGTGAGGAGTGCGTGTGAGTGACATCACTTTAGGCCGAAGGGCTTTGTGCTATCGTTAGACTATGAGTAAAAAAAGTAAAGTTGTTCCCGCATCCGAACCGAACCTTGGGGATTGCCTTGTTAGTGAGACAACTTCCTGGGCCTTCGGCATATTGTGGTAGGGTGGCCAGTTCCTTTCCATGCCGCCTTTACTTCCCCAACTCGAAGTCAGGTACCCATTACTGCTGGGTGGGCAGGAGGGGACGAAAAATATCGGTGTCCGAACCGAGGCTCGAACCCGGACTTTCCGCTTCGGAGACCAGCACACTAACCTCTCCGCCACCGCTCCTTTAGACAGTGAGTAATACAGTAAAACCTCAGTAAAATTTGCTTGGTTTAAAAAGTACTCTCTGCCGTTATGTTCATTTATTGAAGTCCTGGGTCCCTTTAAGCATTTTTACGCTTTAAAAGCTGTCTAAAATGTACCTGCTTTTAAAAAAAAGGTATTCTTTGGGGTAACATTCACTATTCAAAGTGTTTTTGTTATCTAAAGTTGTACATTGCGCTTTGTGAGAATAAAGAAAAATGACCAAAAAAACCCCAATAGTTTTACTGTACTCAATAATGCAAGGGAATCAGTCGCAGTGAGAGGGTGAGTTTTTCGTGGGGTAGTTTTGCCATCAGTGGATCTTTGCATCCCATCACCCCCCCCTCTCACACACACACACACACACGCACGCAAGTGAGGGCCCATTGATTAATAATGTGAATAAGTGTTACTCCTGTTGCAGCCATTTTTACTACAGTACTGAAATAAAAATAATAAGAGTGGAAAAGAGTTTATTATGTCTTTTGATGTTGTGGTTACACCCGTTAGTTGAACTTGGAATGAGTTGATATTTTTTTTGGATTTTTTCACTTTCCTCAACGGCATCAACTTATCCGTAGTCTACTGTAGTCAGTAATGTAAAAAAAACAACCTGGGTCCCCTGTGCCTCCGCTTTTATTCTTTACCCATTAGCCAATGGACCATTGACTGTTTTCTTCTTTCATGTTACGTTTCAGCCCAGCTCCCAATGTGATAAACGCAGAAGCGGCCAGTGGTGGTGGCCAGGCTGCCGCTGTGAAGGTGGACGAGGGGAAGCCCACGACGAACGTCCAGTTACGTCTGGCCGACGGGAAAAGGTTAGGTTGAACGTGTTGTTGTCTTTGGTTTGAATCAACCTATGCCATACGAAACCAAACTGTATTGTTCCGTATCATTGCACTGTGCCGTAGCTTTCCATACCATGGCGTATTGGAAGTGGGTGGTTTGTTCCTTCTTTCCTATCAATCATCTGTCGTCTTTATATCTCTCCTCCTCCTTTTTTGTTTGTTACTTTCTTGTAACACCTCTAATCTTCGGCACTTATATGACCTCATTGAGTTGCAAGTGCTGTAAAACTCTTACTAAAAAAGGCAGGAGTACTAAATTGATTATACTGAGCCGTCCCTTGATGTCGTGCCATACCGCAATAAATCATAATAATAATTTATAAAAATTGCATTTTTATGTAGCCATCCATGCTCTATGCTTTACAACTATTATTATCCCAGCAGACCCTGGAATGCACACAAATATTCTCAACGTCTCAGAAAGCGTACAGTGCAAGCTGCGAATTGTATGCACTCAAACATTAACAACTGACAAGATCTTTCGCTGCCTATAGCTGTATTCCCCTTTCCTCCTGGGTGAAATGAGGAAAATTTGTGTAAAGTTCTTTTCACATGGACACAATTTCGGCCCCCCTGATGAGTTTGAACCGTGACTTTATTGTCGCGAGTCTGCGAGCCAAACCGCTAGGCCACCGACATCACATACTATGCCATAACACTGTACCAAATTATGCCGTACCATTATATTGTATACAGGTAAATGTAACTTTCTCTTGAGTCTGCAGAAAAAAACCTGTGTTATAATTATGAAACTGGATTCTAAAATTTGGTCAGTGTTTTGTGTTGTTCAGTGTGGTATTTGCAGAAGGAACTAAATGCAGGCAGTATTGCGTTGTTAGTCATTTTTAGCTGCCTTTGAGATACGTCTGTATGCAATACTGCCTGCGTAAAGAGGAAATGATTAGAGATGTGAAATATTCATTATACGTGTGTGTGCTTTTGTTGGAGTGGGGGGGATTTGAAGTGAAAGGGGGTGTAATTTTGGTGGAGGGGGAGGGGGGGGTTTTTTTGTGGGTTTTTTCACTTAGTTGACTGATATTTTTCTTTTCTCACAGGTTGGTCCTGAAACTGAATCATTCTCACAAAGTCAGCGACATTCGGCAGCATATCATATCGTATCCTTTTTTTAAATGGCATTCCAACTGCGTTAATGACTTATGTGTATTTGAAAATGTTCGGAGTTCATGTAAGGTTATATTAAAAATGATTTTTGTGAGTACCCAGACCTGTTGCTGGAGCGGGTGGTTGGCGGGTGCTCTGGTGATTTTTGCTCCTTCTTTCCTATCAAACATCTATCGTCAGTATCTCCCCTCCTTCTTTTTTGTGTTTGTTACTCGCTTGTAACACCTCTAATCTTCGGCACTTATATGACCTTATTGTGTTGCAAGTGCCGTAAAACTCTTGCTAAAACTAAAAGACCTGTTGCTGTTTTCAAGTATTTCGATAAGTCTGTTATAAATTAATAAATGGATCCTCCTGGTGCTAGAAATATCTTCTTAGAATAATCAAGATAAACAAAATTAAGTAATTTGGATGGTCCTGGTGTATGCGAAGATTGGTTCAAAAAGGAAAAACTTTTTTGTTTGTGTCAAAGTTCGTTCAGGGTGGGTTAAGCTTGATTCATACGTGTGTTGAAAGTCTTCTGATGGCCATGAAATTTTTCATTTCATGCGTGTTCAGTGTTCTGCAACTTCACTGTTTTTGGCAAATGCTGTGCTTTCCAGTGCCCGACTATATGAGAAGCAAAAAAAAAACAAAGACAAACTTGTACAGTCAACCTCCATTATACCGCCTACCTTAGGATGAATGTGAAGTTGGTGGTACAGCGGGGCTGGCGGTACAACGAGGTTTTCATGTTCTCTGTTAAATGCATGTAGCACCGACTGCTCGATGTCAAGGGAACTTGTTTACCATCACAAAATGAAGTAATAATGAGTTATCTCCCTTCGATCTGTCACTAATATTTGAGCATGAGTCCTCATTAACTAAAAGCCCCACAGGCATTCGCCAGCCTGTATGCTATTGGGCTGATGTCTGACGACACCAGTAATTTTGACGAGGGGCTGAAAGTTTCTCCATCGTCATCAACGCCTTCCACCCCAAGCAGGGTATTCGCCACATGCAAGCTCCTTCTATTTATCTCTGTCCCGGGCCATCCTTCCAAGCTAAATTCATCTCTCTCATGTCCCTTTTCATACATCTCCTCCATGTTTCCGGTGGCCTACCCCTGCCTCGTGCTCCCTGTGGGTTCTACTGCAGCGACTGTCTTGTGATGTTTCCGCTGAGCTTTCTGAAGGTGTGTCCCTTCCATCGCCATTTTCTTAAGCTCCAGTTACACGCTACGATAAATTGTGTCAGGTTCGTCTTATGTGAAAACTGTCTGTTTAGACATTCCAATCTACCGTCCAGTTTTCTTTTGATCAGGGAGATTCTTACTCTTAGTCATTGACTTGACTGCAGATGTGCAACGCACCGGGTGAACTTGATACTCAACTTCACCATTGGCGATCAACTAAATAATGAAATTGCTAAAATTTACATAAAATCGCATTAAATCAGGCTCTTCGTGAGCAACTTTGCTTATTTTGAGACGCTGATTCCGAATATGAAATCAGTTTTTACCTTGGATAATTATTTTTTACATTTTGAGACAATTTTGTAAGAATTCATAGGTTTTTTATCTCCTTTTCTTTGAAGTTTGATGTTCAAAGCAAAAAGAACAGTCTCCTTAAAGATTGTTCCGCATATTCTGAATGCGGCCCTGGTTTCTGTGAGATGTAATGATGTTTCCTTAACCACTGTTCAGCTCCAATCCTCAGTACGCCCAGTCCAGTTTCTGCCTGATGACAACGTTCCCCAACAAAGAATTAACAGATGAGTCTCAGACGATAGAGGGGGCCAATCTACTCAACGCTGTCATTGTGCAGAGGCTTAAATAGGACGACGCTGCGTAGGGTGAACTACGGGGCATATGCTGTTTAGTGAATGTTTAATGTGAGTGTTCGTGAGAGTGTGCATGTGTGTGTGTGTGTGTCTTCAAAGATGTGCAAGTGACGTGTGGTGGTATAGCTTTTTTGTATTTTGTGTGAGGTCCAGATGATGTTTCAGTTTATTCCTGCCGACATCTGTGTTGTGACGTTTAAGCCGTTTGCTGCTGTCACATACAGAAGGTGTGAGTTTGATTCCAAGTGAGGAAGTTTCTGTAGTTGCGTGTCTCCGTCTGTGTGCTTGAATACTGTATCCGTCTCAGCCTGGATCGACTCTTGACACTTGCGGACAGACAGATTGTAACAGCTTGCCTCTCGAACGATCTGAATTGTGTCCATGGGGATGTAAAACATTTCCAGTCAGTCGTGTAGTTTATTTCTATAACTTTTGTTCATTGCTATTCCATTTAAAAGAGTGACCTTCACCTAGATAACAAAGAATTGTAGTTACAAAGTAGAAAAAATTATGCATCTTACATAGTCGGTGGTTGTTCAATGTCCTTACAATCTCTATATTATTATTTCAACCCATTGCGGCAACAGCATGCATTAGTTCATAACACAGTTTATATCTGACAAGTTTTTTCAGTCGTAATTTGAAGGACGTATTGTATTCGTAGCCATTGTGCTGTTTACAAAGTCGGGTTGAGTTTGGGTTTTCACTGTAGCTCTATTCTTTGATCTCTTTTCTGATGAAATGCCAGAGTTAATTGCGGTATCTTTACGCAGATCCTTCAGTTTTTCTGAAACTCTTGTGGTGAGCGTACACTGATATTGTAGTATCAGAAAGAGAGCTTTTAAAATATGTGACGTGTGTGACATTTTCAGATGAGACTGTGATACTGACAAACATTGTAGTGTATTGTTGGTCTTCTGTCAGCGGATACGACGTCAGTACCGGCATCTGTGGTTAAGTGGTGTGGCTCTTCCTTGTCACTGGAAGGAGACACGAATTTGATTCCCGGGGGGGGAGGGGGGGCAGGGGGGGAGGTTTGTTATTAAGCATCTCCGTCTTTTTTTGCTGGGATGCCTTATCCGACTCCGCCGAGGTTAGCCTGGGGATAGGCAGATTCAAAGCAGTCCGTTTCCAAAATTGTCTAAATAATGTCGATTTCAGTTACAAATATGTGTGTTTTGTGACCCTCTTTGATGCTGGCCACTTTGGTTTGACTTGGTGGTTCAAATTGGTTTTGTCCTTCAGAACTTAAAAAAAAAAAAATATCTAAAGGGAATTTCATTCACTTTTCTAGTGTTATTGTTTGTCTCCGATTAGAGAGTTTCATTTGCATGTAAAGTGCAGTTGAATTGATATAATGTGTACTATTGTATGTGGTGACAAAGATGGATTCACTTTGCCACAATTTGTAAAATTTAAGTTAATTTTTTTTCAAGGGAATTTCTTTCTTATGAGGTGTTTACGATTTTTGTTTACTGACTGAAAGGGACAACAGATTGTTACTGTTGATTTCATCTGTGGATAAAAAAAACAAACAACTAATGACCTCCACTGAGTTTGATTTTTTGTCATTAAAAAAATATAACTGATATTGCTATGCTTTGTTTGTATTTTGACATTTTTAAAGAATTGCTTTGAAATGTATTCTTCCTTTCTGTCTCTCTTTCATCTAAAATGCAGTCCTCTTTCGCATTTTATCCTTCCTGTCGTCATGGTTTTGCTGTTTTGTTACTTACTAAAGTCCTCATTCTACTGGCTGGAGCTTCAAAAATTAAAAACTGAAGTTATAAATAACAACTTTTCTTCGTACTTTGGTATATTGTGGAAGAACTGTCATTCTACCATAGTGGGTGGTTGGCGGGTGCTCTTGTGTGGTCTGCTCCTACTTTCCTATCAAACATCTATCGTCCTTATCTCCCCTTCTTCTTTTTTGTGCTTGTTACTCTCTTGTAACTCCTCTAATCTTCGGCACTTATGTAACATTATTGTGTTGCAAGTGCCGTAAAACTCTTACTAAAACTGTCATTCTACCACCACTAAATGGAGCTGAACTGAAGTTACTCAGGTTCATGAGCATGGAGTCATTTGGTTGACTTTTTCTTGTTGGTATTCTTCACCAACAGTGGCCAACTATGGGAATGGGTACTCAGCTATAGACAGCGAAAGAGCTTGTCAGTATATTTGTGTTTTAACGCCTATAAATGGTGGCTTGCACTGTATGCTTCCCAGGAAGTTGAGACTGTTTCAGAATGCTATCAGGTCTGCTGGGGTAATAAATATTGATTGTAAAGCACATAGAGCTTGCTGTTGAGCTGGAATTTGCGCTGTACAAATGCTGTCTATATTAATATTATTATTATCATTTGTTTAACATCCTGTGCACTTGGTAAGCTCCTTGTGTTTTCACATTCTTTTGCACTTTGTGAAAGTAAAAGTAATTGTATTGATAATTCCATTTATATAACATATATGATCTACGCTCTACAGCATGCTCCATGCACTTTACATTACAACTATGATTACCCCAGCAGACCTTGGAACACTCTGAAACATTCTCGACTTCCCCTGAAGCATAGAGTGCGAGCTGCAGGTTTCTCTCGTTCATACATTAACAAACTGACAAGGTCAAAGTAAATTCTGGCCGTTGACTCCAGCTCTCTACATGCTTTCATGGCTGGAAAATAAAAAATAAAGCATCAGAGCTTAATGTCAGCATATATTTGTGAAACTTCGTCACTTTGGGCGCCTAAAACTTCCTAACCACTTAACTTTCGAATTTGAAAAAAAATTAATGGTGGTTCAAAATCTTTTAAAGGGTGCACAGTTATATTAAGGAGTCTGAAGTCACTAGTTTAATTTTCAGTTTATCATTAGTTTCATTTAGATCTAATCGTGGGAAAGTCCATCTTCTAAGACGCCATTATAAACCAGTGAGGTTTCTGTTTACAAGCAGTGCGCACTGCTTCCACAATGGTTTGATGATCGATTCTTTTGAGTCCATTCATCGAGCGGGTGCCCAGCTAGTTTAGTATTTTTTAAAGTTTAAATATATAGGTTTTACAGCGCTCGCCACTGAGCGCAAAGTGGTGGATGTCAACAGAGAGTCCTTACGGGGAATCAGGTTCACCTTTCTAGCTTCAACAGCACAAAGTCCTGTCACCATAGAATTATACAAATTTAGGTGGCCAAATTATGCAAGAAAAATGCAAAATTATGCAAAAATTATGCAAGTTACCGTAACACCATTCGCGACACGTTTTGCACTTTTTCAACAAGAATTTTCATGTTTTATGTATGTACAGATAAATTGAAAACTGAACTTATCAGTATCAGTAATTTGTTGAGTATTTGGAAAGAAAACAATACACATCAGTCAGAAAAAAACAACCAAAAAATATAATCTCTGTAACTTTCAGCTGTAGATCTATCTAAGATTAAGAGGAAAAAGAAATGGGGGGGGAAAAAAGGACATTTGGACCTCTGATGCTGCAACATCACTAAAACCAGGGACACCTGTCAAACATGAAACTTCAGCAGACATAAGAACAACTTTTGATGGATTGAAAAATTAGAACATGCTCAAACTCAAGGAACAAAAGCCCCATCCCATAAACCATTAATCAAGATCTTCTAACAAGGAACAAGGGAAATAACCAACTTTTCACTGAAATGAGACTAATTACATTGATTACTTCCCTTTAGTCACGGCGAGGCGTTGTTTTGTGAAAAAGGAAAAAAACGCGGGGAATCCAAAATTATGCAAATGTTGCAGAATTACGCGAAAAAACTCGGCCGCACAATCGCATAATCCACCTACGGGGACAGAAAGTCTGCTTCGACTATGAAGGCACCCCGGAAATAGTGGGTCACAAGAGTGTGACAAGCATACAAATACAAAAGATGTAAAGGAAAAATTACGATTGTAAGGATTAAGAAAGAAAAAGCAGCAGCTCCCTGTTGCAGTTCAGGCACAGTTATGAGAATGACATTGATGAATCAGCCCATTTACAATTTTATTACTGTGCATAAGAACATATTAATGTGTTAACCATAGTTCACCGAAATTCATTTTCCACATGTCACTCTGCTTTCTGTCTGTCTGTATGTCTCTTTGTTTGTCTGTCTCTCTGTTTGTCTCTTTTGCATTAGTATGGATTTTTCCATCTTTACTTTAATAAACTTAAAGAGCCAAGTACATGTAGTAGTAGAAGCAGAGCCCTGAAAACCCCAAAACAGGATACAGGATGCTCTGTTGTGGATTCCAACCTTTGTCATCCTTACAATAATTTTAGCAAGATAATTGAACATGGTTGCTTTTTACATGCGCGCGCGCATACACACACACACACACACACACACACACACACACACACGCGCGCGCGCGCGCTCACACACACGCACACACACACACGAACAGCATTTCTTTTTCAAAAAGTTGTGAGTTCACAATATTCATCACGCCAATGTAATCGGAAGTCGAAAGTAGATCTAGCCTAGTTAAGCAAGGAAAAGTTTCTAGCCCTTCTGTGACAGTGGAAGACACTCCCTGGAAGTGGACTCCTTTACCAACTTTGGAAGTGTCATCTATGGTAAAGGTGGAACTGGGACGGATGTAAAACAAAAGCAAGAACCGCCAAGGCAAGGTCAGCATTCAATCAGTTATCAAAAGTCTGGAAAGCAAGCAACATCTCACTGCGCACCAAGATTCGACTCTTTAACTCCAATGTCAAGTCTGTGCTCCTCCACGGCTGCGAAACTTGGAAGACAATCAAGACAGTGCTGAATAAAGTCCAGACTTTCATCAACAGATGTATGAGGAGTATTCTAAGAATTAAATGGCAGGACAGAATAAGAAATGAAGAGCTGAGGGAAAGGACAGGACAAATGTATATATAGAAGTAGAAACAGGACAAAGAAAGTGGCGATGGATGGGACACACCTTCAGAAAGCCCAGCGGAAACATCATAAGACAGTCACTGCAGTGGAACCCACTTGGAGCACGAGGCAGGGGTAGGCCACGGGAAACATTGAGGAGATGTGTGGAAAGGGACATGAGAGAGATGAAGCTTTCTTGGAACGATCCGGGAAGGATGCCCCAGGACATAGATAAATGGAAGGAGCTTGTATGTGGTCTATACCCTGCCAGGGGTGGAAGGCATTGGTGAGGATGAAGCCCCCTTCCTTCACACACACACACACACACACACACACACACACACACACACACACACACAC